AATCTGTATTTCAGAAATTTTACTCATAGAAACAGTGACTACACACACACACACACACACACACACACACACACACACACACTTAGCGATTCCTGTGCTATCATTCCCCATATCTTCAGAAAAAAGCAACTGGTTGAAATGTCAACACAGCACTACACCTATGGATGCAGTTTATTAAAAAAGTGATCTGCTCCTTAGCACAAATTTTTTCTGTTAATTCTTGGTGGTCTGTATTCTAGATTCCCTGTGGCCCTATTTATGTGTCACTGTTCTGTTCTGCAATTCTGATGAGCATCAGATATAGTTAACACATATAAAACTGTAATACTGAAATGTTTGCATCTTCCCTGAGCAGGAGGCTCACAGTACAGAAAGTATACAGGCCAAATTTCAGATGGAGACTAGCCTTTGCCATTCTGTTTCTCTGTTTTCTTATGGATACAGACGAACACACAAAAATTAAGCACCCACATGCTGTGAATTAGTAGAGGTTTTCCCTTAGAGTCCTCTAGTGAAAGGCACCATAGTGTCATCAAACATTTTGGAAATCTACTTTGAACATTAGTAATGCTGTGCACTCCCATTGGCATCCTCTGGAAAATGGTCAGAGCAATTTGAGAAACAAGATTTCAGAGACTATCTAGTCAAGTCTCATTATTTTGTAGAAGTGTTGGCTGAGTATCAGGGAGAGATGTGAGCACTAATGTTAAGTTACCAATAAAGCTGAAAGCCTGGCCTCTGATTTATAGAATATTTAATGCTAGGAGTACAGAAACATAAGAGAAGAGTTTGACCTCACCATACCCCAGCATTTACCAAAAAGAAAAATGCTGTTGCTGTGCAATGAATCCAGGACTTCAATAAACTTGAAGTCTCTGAAGTTTGGAGTTAGCTTCCTTTGTATAAAGAATACAGGGAAAGTTTATAGAGGAAGACTACTGGAAAAAACATTTGAAGTAGAACTTAACCGTGTTCCTCTGAAACACAATGTTCCTGGTTGATGTGAAAATAAACCAAGAATCGTTTATAATTTAAGGTCAGAATACACAGCTCAGCATGGTTAAACATGTTATTCATAAATACCTATTGACTTCAGAAACAGCACTGATTCGTATCGCTGTTTTAAAAAATAGTAGTCTTGGGCTGGCGAGATGGCTCAGTGGTTAAGAACACTGGTTGTTCTTGCAGAAGACCCGGGTTCGAATCCCAGCACCCACATGGCAGCTAACAACTGTCCGTAACTCCAGTCTCAGGGGA